AAAGGCAGAGAGCAAAGCGGTGAGAGGGCAGCGAACCGCGGCACCTGCAGAAAGACCTTTTGTTTTCACTTGTTTACAGTGACAAACACAAAACAACGCAGGATGCACAGGGAAGGCAAACCAAGAAGCAACTGCAGTTTGTCCTGCCTTGCACATAAGCACACTGCCTGGCTCTGGGCCGCTACCCTGGCAGCACAGCAACACTGAGAACAGTCACTACAAAACAGCTTTCTCGTGACTGACAAGAAATTAAAACCCCAACAAATAGAATTTTATCACATGAAAAATAAAAGTTGTCATAAGCAAACGAGTCAAAATGCAACCTTTTCCACAAATATAACCTCAAAACTACTCTCTCGTGAAAATACTGTCAGGGTGTAAATGTAAGTCGTACCTTTGATCAAATCATAGGTGTTTTCAGTTCTTTAGAGCTCAATATGAGAAAGTTGTGCAGAACAGAATACTTTCAGCACAGAACTTCTATTTAAACATCTCCATCAAGTCCCAAACTTGATTTTTATTTATAAAAGCAGCTTCCCAGAGGAATCTCCCTTATTGAAAACTTCAAAATGACACAGCTCCATTTATGAAGAAACAGCTACTTTTATCCGCCATGAAACACACCTGCAGCTACTTGCAATGAAACCTCTCCAGTGACTGGAATCCTGTCAGCATTAAACACCAGACACACGAATTATTAATAGTGCACAGCCCTAAACAGAAAGAGTAAGGAAACAATGCACTGGAGTAAAGAAACTCACCTTGAAACACAGATCAACATTTACTCATGAGACAAACCTCTGACGGGTCTGTTTTTACTACCATGAGTAAATTGTTGCCTAGTAGAGGTACAAGAGTGGGAATAGATCCTGCTCTCAGGGGACAGGTGCTTCAAAGGAGACAATACTCATGGGAGCAACAGCAAAACAAACAAGAAATCCTGTGAAGCAAGATCTTCAAGGGCTGCTGTCACTAGGTCCTCAAAAGAAAAAAGACTTTCTGAAAGATGAGGTTAATTGTGAACTAAGTTCTGAGAAGCAGAGGCACCCAGATCAGTTGTGGTGGTGTTTCATTCTTGGGTGAAGATGACGTGGATTAGAATGCAGAACATCACCCTGCACTACAGCTTTCACAGGAACTTCTCCAGTAAAATAACAGATCAGGTGATGGTAGGATATGACTAGAAACCAGACAGAAACTCTACCCCCTTCAGTTTTTAAGCCTAAAGAAAGTCAGACAGACCCTTCTACTTCCAGCGGACTTGTTACTTCTTAATTACACTTCACAAAGTCTGTCACTGTCTTCTCATTATAAATGGGGGGCAGGGGACGAGAAATCTGCAGAGAACAAGATACCATTTAGAGACCCAAATCAACCAGCTCTACACAGTGCACAGGAACAAGGGTGGGGGCCCAAACCTTCAGTTCCAAGTTTTCCAGGGTTCTTCTATCCAAGCTAAACATGGAATTTCCTCATAAACTTTGCAAGCATTCTCATCTACATCAAACTGATGCACTCCTACTGTACACACTGCACACTAAAACAAAGGTTAAATGGGCTCTATTCCAAATCACTTAATAGTATGAGAGCCTTTAGTTTAAGGAAGATTGTTTAAAACAAGGGATGATAGATGCTTTGTATTGCTTTCTGAAAGCATTAAGCAATTTGCTATTTCTTATGGAATCTGCTCTTAGAGGTTCATCCCTGTACTTCAGCGGGATTACGATTCGTAGCATATACTCTGCATTGTTAGATGCCAGCTGCTTCTACAGGAAATAACTGAAAGTTCTGAAGTCAGGTTTATCTGGGATACACACACAAACCAGCATTTCGTATTTGACTGCACATAAACTACCAGTGCACTAAAATGTGCTGCTGCTAAAAGTCTCCCGGCACCTTTACTTGAGACATCAGCAAAATCAACAACTAAAAAACCTATCAAAGTTTCTCTGAAATTTACAGTACTTATAATAGCTAAGGAGTTACTCAATAACAGCTATAATCAGTGTTCACACCACTACATTTTGTACATGGAGATCATTCTAGATGCAAGAAATAGGGGCCATCTTTATATGCCTCTGGTATTTAAGGTAAATTGGGATCTTTTAGTCATCCCAAGACTGCAGAAGTTAATCCTGAAGATGGCTCGTACTTCAGGCAATTCATTTTGCCTACCTTTCTAACAACACATTCTGCTGATTAATAATGAAGTCTGCTTTTGCTCACAGCCAAGTAGGATCAAGACACAACAACTCCAACTCTGTATTAAAAATACAGACAGCTACAGTTTTCTCTCCTAGTGATTTCTGAATTGTGCCAGTTCCCATCAGAAACGTGGGCACTGTGGCTGCTCAGCGCCCTGACCTGCCCCACAGGCTCAGGAACTGAGCGAGCTGCTTACCTGGGTACTGCATACCGTACTGCTGCTGAGGCTGAGCCTGCGGCTGCTGAGCAGGGTAACCAGGCTGTTGGTACTGCTGATACATCTGACCTATGGATTAAAAACGTATTTAGTTGAAGGCCAGCACCCTAGCTATGTTATAAGCACACAATGAACAACATCCTAACAATTCAAAATCACAGAAACAAACCCTCTCACAACATGTAAAAATGTCCTTTAAAGAAACCTGAACACAGTAAGTGAAGTTCGAATACATGTTCCACCTGAGTACCAACTGAAATCAGTCTATGGATTTTAGTTTCTGAACCATGCTGTTCTAAAGATTAAATGATGCTTGTCTATCTCCAACTGAATAAATAGTTCTAATTTGGCACAGGAGGCTATTTCACATGTTCAGAAGATGCCAGAAGATATGCACCTTAATCAGTGCTACTCTGGTACTTAACCTATAGGCCCTGCTCAGGCTTTATGCTTCTGCCTTTTTTCAATTTAATTAATAGGCACAGTCACAGAACAAAAGCAGTTATCTGCCACAAGTAAAGCTTTGCTGAGCTGGAAACTTCACTGTTATAAAGTGCTACTCTACCACTATTCGTTCTGCAAAGAGCAGCACGGGTATAAACACACTGTAAATTCTATCTTCTAAACTGCACCAAGACAAATGCAACTCAGCTCTGCTCCAAGTCCTGCCAGGCCCTGCGCATACCACTATAAAATAACTCCCAATTTCTTCTTTTCTCTGCCTTACTTGCAGCTTGAAAACAACAGTATCTTACATTCACACTACAGTGATCACAATATTATTTGGTATGCAGTTTTTGTGTGATGAAGAGAGTGCTAAACACGAGGCTTGAAAGAATTTAAGCCTGTTAGCTTGATAATTAAAGAATGAGAGGCTCGGAACACGTTTTCTGTTTCTTAAACTCAGCTGTGAAGGGGACATGCTGGCGAAGCAGCAAGAGGCTGCCTGTCTCACATTACCTACAGGCTAATGCAGCGACCACACTGGCACCTGCTGGAGGCCTCGAGTAAAAAGGCTGTGAAAGACAGCAGGGAGTTTTTCCAAAGCTTTCTGAGAAGACTGCCAGTCTTCACCAGGGTAGACGCTTTAGTGAGGATCAGAGAGGTGCTCCAGTGTCGTTGTTAGAGCCACGAAGGCAGTCAGGGATCCGACTGATCCTTAAACACAGCGTTTTCCCTCTCACTGGAGTTTTACTCTGAAGCCAAGATGAGCTACAGCATCAGTGTCTGGTTTTGTACTTAGCAGCGCTTACTGCAGTCAAGGATCTGCCAGCATTTACCATTGTTCCTGTGCACTGAAACAGCCATTTTAGCCTGGTTCAGAAAAAAGACAAGTAGGTGTATTCACACAACATTCTCCTCCCTAGAAGATCATGAAGTGCTTATAAGAATGAACTTTACATCCATTTCAGCAAAGACTAAACAAGCGTTCACATCTGTACAGAACTGGTTCTGTTCAGCGAGTGGATTTAGTGGTACAAAAGCACAGTCATGCCACAAGAGACAGCACCACGCTGAAATGTCTTTTTCAGTAACATCTATGGGGAAAGAATGCCATTAAAAAAAATAATCCCTGGTATAACCAGAATGATTGTCACATGACTGGCATCACCATTTTACTTATACCCTCAAAATACTGGGAAGATGGGGTAGAAGCATAGCTTGGGGTATTCTGGGTTTTTTCAGAAGTGAACTAGTATTTTAAAACTAGTTTCTAACAAGAACATGCTCTGTT